AGTCTTACACTGCTAAATTAGGGACGGCTACCGCAGATAGCCCTCGTGTAGCTTTGCGCGAAATTCAAAACAAACAATTACAGCGCTTCTGTTATCCAAGCTAATACTCTTTCTCTACCTATTCTTCAAAATGAAGTTATACTGTTTGGCTTTAACTTTAAGATAAATGATAAACATTTGTTGGATAAAAAATGCTATACTTAAACTGTTACAAAAAAAAATGTTAAAGAAAAGCTTCCACCAAAGAAAACAAAATTTGTCAAGTGCTTACTAAATGAACTGTTATCTTCTAAAAACTTGAGAAATTCTTCTGCTGTACAAGAACTCGGAATACAGACTCCTATCGATACGTCAATTAGTTTTCTGAAATATTTAAAATAGAAATAAAACAAATGCATAATCAGTTTATAACCAGTAGTAACATAAAGAACTAATAAAATCAATGAGGTTATGATATAAGTTGGTGAATCGTGTTTACTGAGTTTTTGACGCTGTATTTAAATATATATATATACCTTTAATAGTCTACAAAATTATTAAAATTTATAGCGTTTTGAATATGATAAAATGTAAAAATAAGTCACAACTTTACTCAAAAAATTTCATATCAAGATGTGCTAAATGGGAAATATGAACATCTACTATAATTGGCGAAAAACAATCTTTTAACAAAACATTAATTGGTCTCGAGACGTGCCAATTCGGAATTTCAGTACCAACAACTTTAGAATTTACATCAAAGGGACGAAAGACAGAAGCGTAGTGGAGGTGACAAATACATATACACATTTAATACGTCCTTAAACAGCGTAGCAATTCCTTACTCTTTTATGAACTGGTTCTGTAAATTTTCCCTATTAACTATCACGGGCGCCCGCATGACGAGGCAAGAGGGAGCATTTGCCTCCCCATACATTTCACAAAACAATGCACGTGTTATAATATAAACTTCACATCGTAGTTAAACTATATATTTTTAGTAGGGATACACGGGTAGTAAAATTTGGCCGAATACCGGGTCCCGGTACCAGGTCACTATGTTTCGGCTGGGGCCGGATGTCAATCGGGACCGGGTTCTCCCCATGCCCCCCCCCCCAAAAAAAGCATACACAAAAATTAGAAACAAAAACAAAATTTAAAAACATTCAAGTTTTACTTTCAACTTTCAATGCTTAACCCCAACTTCTCAAACCCTAACCCCTATTGTTCTCAAAAAACCCACTTT